ATGTAGTGAGATGCATGTAGTGAGATGCATGTAGTGAGATGCAGAATTTCTCTGCAATACGTGGATAGATCTCGTTCCTTGCGTTAGAGCCAGCAGAACAAGATATTGTTCACCTTTGTTGGTCAAGCTGCTGGGACACGGTGACACAAGTTGTGAGGTAAACAAAAGTGTATTGCATTGGTCAATCAAGTTGTATCTGCCATGTATCTGTCATTTACACCTAAACAGCTACTGCCGTGCATGGGTAATTAATTTAACCTATATTTTGAATGGGAAATTTAAAATCTAGTTTAAAAAGAGTTTAAATAATTTAAAATGTTTTTATGCAAACTGTTTTGCATAAAAAAGGTTAAAAAATAATACAAAGTAGGGTTTTTTTTTAAATTAAAGATTTGCATTCAAGTGCATTTTCTGAAAACACAGCAGCAGGCTATTTAGAGAAACACATCCTATGCTCAGGATTGCAACGGAGCAAGTTGTGATAGTCACGGAGATTCTCCAGCTTTAAGCACTGTCTAAGCTACCATGCAAATGCCTTAGACTAAACATAATCCAAGTTATCACGCAGAATGTTCATTTCAGCAATACGATTTGAACTTTGCTGCCGCTGTCATCTATAGGGCTAGTAATAGTATTTTGATAGTTACCCTCTTCCTTCTTTTTGGACCACCATTAATCTTCCCAAAGAGTAAATTCTTGCTCTGAAAAAAAAAGAAAAAAAAAAAAGGTAGTCATATATATACATATATATATATATTGTTTTTTTAACAGCAATAATGTTAGTATATGAATATTTAGAAACAAGTTTAGATGGGTTTGTAAAGGGAAGATGCACTAATAGATATGTGGATGCTGCTGCTAATGCTACTGCTGCTGTTGTGCAGTTCTTGGGGACCAGTTAGTTAGTGTCACCAACCAGGGGAAGCTCAGCAGCTTTTCCTGCAAGCCGTTCTGCGTGCCTGCCTGTGCTCAGGGCACCGGCGCTCCAAGTACGTGCTGGAACAACGATATAAATAGGACATTGTACATGTAAAACACACCTACTTATTTAAAACAAAACAAAAGATCAGAGGGAGTGAGTGTGTGAAAGCCCTGCCTCTGGTATGTCTTCACATTGGAGGTGACACCAGTAAAAGAGCAAAAGTGTTTCCCTTTACAAGCGATTTTCTAATTCCTGCTAAAAACTGCAATCAGTGTCATTCCTACTGTTTTGTTGTCTTTGCTTGTTTCATTCCAGATATCAACGCTTCCCAGTGCAAAGTTCTGCTGAAATCAGCTCAGCGACAACCCTTTCTTTGTTTAAGTAGTGCCCTCAATAAAGTTTCTCAAAAGCATTTGGTCTATAACATTTTTAATAGACTGAATCTTTTAAAAACTGCCAAAAACATCTTGGCAGAAAGGAAAGTTATGATGATGAGGGGAAAAAAAAAACCCCTCTGACCATAGTTTATATAAGTGCATCCACATATTGTTATATTTCATACAAGTAGTGAATTCTAATAAAGTCTAGAATAACACACACATGCTCAACACATTTTGTTTCAATTGTGTATTACAAAGAAAAACAAAACCAAACTCTAACCTGAAAATGGAAGGAGAGAAGAATTACATGTATAAAAGCAGAACACTGTATAAACAAGACCATTAATTCTGCTATAAACAACTGACCTAACGTTGATCATATAAATAGAAAGTGTAATTCTAGTGAGGGACAAATTCACCAAACATTTCTATTCTCTATGCAGCCTTGATATGAGAAAAAACAAACATTTTCAAGTGTTAAAATGAAATCTGCCAAAATTGTCTGTTTTGTACTCCTCGTGTACATTAAACCCCAAATTCACAAGGCCTATTTCTTGTTTAACCTCGATTATTTTATTTCAGCTGTGCCAAAAGGGAACACAGATGAAGTTGGCCAAGGGAGACATTCTTGACTAGCCATTTATGCAAACTCACGTAGGGAAAACTTAACATCAAAAAACCAAACTCCACAGATGTGTGAATTATCCTCTGTAGGAAAGAAAGCGCACTGACATCCCTCTTCATAAACTGGTTGACCTTACACTTTTCATTAAAAGGGAAAATATTGTTTCTGAAACAAAAGGAATGCTATGACTACTGCAGCTACATTCCTATCGCTCACAAAAATTCCTTCCAATTGAACTGTTCCTGCTCAGGAAAATCATATTTTGCTTAGTCTGCTTGCAAATGTTTCAAGACGATAGCTACTATTATATGTATAGTATTACATGTAGAGCAAAACACGAGATCACAGACCATAAGCTAAGCATGTGCTGGTGTGATGATGATGAGCATGGAGACATAAAGCCACCAGCCATAAAGGCTGGACAACATCAGCTGTTTAACTTGCTTGGAAGCACTGGCCATTTCTCATCTCACACCTAAGAAATCAGGCACCGTGTTCCTCGAGATGAAGATAAAACTTATCTGGAGATGTGCGACGTGCTGCACTTCTGAAGGGAAATTCTTGATTGAGAAGGAACATAGAGGGGGACTCAGGTCAACTCTTAGCCCTTCCACGACTGTGAGCACCACTGTGACCTTGTTCCTCCAGCTTCCCTTGCACCCTGCCCAGGTACCCAGCTTAGGTGCTGTGGGTTGGGATTTGAGCTGAGCACCTGAGTGAAGATACTTGTAACCAACTAACTAGTGCCAGAAAACCTTTCACAGATCACTGACATACGTGTAAGTCAATGATAATTAACAGCTTTGTAATCTCAATTTGCACAGTGATTGAGCAAAACTAGTAAAAAAAACAACCCCAAAAACCCCACATTCACAAGAATTTATACCTTGAGAACGGCTTTCTCTTGTCCTTAAAGCAGGCAATTTATAGCCTACTACTAACACCAAGCATGACTTGATTACCACTTTTGATTATACCAAGCATTTGATTACTTTAAAGTATCCATAAACAATCCATATTTGCTATTGGAAATTGAAAAGGGCTATTTGACTTACCATAACTACCCTGCCTAGTAATATTCACTGCCATGCATATATTTACAAATCTGAGCTGGCAAAGAAAGATGCACTTAAAATTACTCTCAGTAATGGAAACTGGAAAAAAAGTGAAGCCCGAGAGTGACTCCTTCCAGGCTTTCATTAAAATTGAGAAGGAAGAGGTAGCAACTCCCTTAACAGGGGGTTCCATTTTGTGGCATATTTAATCCTTACTTTCCATTTACCTTCCTTTCTACCAGCCTAGCTCCTTGCAGTAGATCTGATAGACAAAACCAGCATTATTACTCCTCTGAAAGTGAAATATTATTCATTGCTACAGTAAAAAGAGGTGTTTTTGAAAAATATCATTGTCTTTTAATTTCTTCTTTGTACTGACAGTCATATGAGAAAATCTGTCTCAAATTCCCTCCTCTTTTTAAATCCACCATGGAGCCTGCTCTCAGATGCCCGCAGGTAAGTATGTTGACATATGTTGATACAGATGAGAGTTTCACAAAGGTAGGGGAAGAAAAATAAAAAAGAGAAAAAAAAATGTATGTGTATCATGATCTATATATTTATATCTTTAAATGCCTTATCAATTATTTATATATAATATCTAACATCTATATCCAATCATAGACTGTTGTATAAGAATCTCAAAAATTGCTTTGCAAAATGCATTTTACCCAGGGGTAATATATAGGTCCCACAGCTTTGCAGGTGAGATATCAAATTACTAAAACAAGCAAACAAAATATCTGTTCCTTTCCCATGATTCAAAAACAAGCAAGTTATCCTCCTAATGCAACTTGGCTTGCAGGGGTCAGTGAGACGCTGCGGCTGGGAGGGCTCTGGACCTCAGTGACAGCCTCGGGCCTTCCGCAGCGCCCGTGATTTTGTGGAGCTGTGTATATCATATATCAATGCAATATTTACATCCCCTTTGGGCATCTAGTCAAAGCTCTCTCTGCCAAAGCAGGAGCACAGAGGGTTTTTTTGGGGGTGGATATGTGGATACACATAGTGACCTACTATGCAGCTCACAGTCTGCCAAGTTCCTCATTTATGACCCATCTAACCTAGATGCCAATAAGTGACCTAAAACTAGAAGATCTTATCTGCTTTATCTCTTCATTGCTCTTTTATAAAGTCTCAGGTAGCTAATTTTTAGAGTGCCATTTTGCTCCTGTTTTTCCAGGGCACAGGGGGGAACACCTATAAAAGCAGATACCATTATATTTCCTGATCTTTTTAATGCACAGTAATGCACAATGAGGAGGCAGTCAGGGCAATACTCCTGGATCTCGGCAGAACATTTGATCATGTACATTACCAGCTGTTTCATCTCTAATTAGAAAGATCTGGACTTGGCTATGCTGCAGCTAGATATGATTACTGTATGGGACTTAGCAGTCTGCTTTAATCCATGCGTGCGTAGTTTTTTCCCTGAATTAGCAGTGATGGATGTAGAAATGAAAAATTAAAAGACCAGTATTCACTAACGATTACCTATCATTTGTTAATATATATGTTGCTGATGACAACACAGTATGTACCCTGATTCTGAAATATTGCAAAAGGCCAAAGATTTGCAGAAGTGTTTTTATAGTCTTCAACATGGCATTATGAAAATAAATTACTTATGAATAATAAGAAAACTAACAGCATTATCTGGCATAAATAATAAAGTTCACCATCTGGTGTTTTTAAGATGAAAAGCTTTGATGGTAATTACTTAGAATGCAACAAGAGTTTCCAAAATTTGGATTTTGGCATGATTCTCTCTAGAAATTTAGCACTCACATAAGTAATTAAGGCTATAAATCTTATACTGGTTTGATTATAAATGATGAATCATTGTCTCATGATTACAGCAGGAACAGAGGCTGCCAAACATGTCCATTTACCAATATACGCTTATGGAACACTGCGTTAGAGTCATCTTAAATAAAGTGTTATAACAATGTATAATGAGATTTCATGATTTGTTCTAGAAGCATAAATTATGGCCATTGTTATTGTTTTCCTGGCGCCTGAAGATGGATTTGGGATTGGACATTTAACTGATGTAATCTAAGATTAAGCTGCAGAGCTCTTTTTGGAGCCTCTAGCCTGCAGAAATAGCCCTCCTGGAGTTATTTAAGTCCTTGCATGCATAGAGCAAGGGTTTTGCCCTTAGTATAGCGGTTGTGTTTATTATACACAATGTATTAAATGGGTTTCTGATATATATATATATACATATATTGTTATAGTACAATCATTTCACCAGAATGTATCGGTGTTCTGCTTTCATGCGAACAAGAGCGAAGAGAAGGACAAGAGACAAGACTGGACCGCAGGGATGAGCAATGCCCAGCAGGCTCTGTCCCTGTTCCAGGGCTAGCATCCATCCCTCACGCTTCCCTCTAACCCTAATTGTTCGCAACAGGCTCCAGAACAGCCTCAGTTAGCTCCCCCTGGCCACAGGGAATCCCCACGAGTTTTCCAGACCTAGACTTTTTAAAGCCACGTTCACTATTGACTTGTAGGCTGCTGCATTTACCAAGTGCATACATAGTTATCATGCTTTAAGAGAGGTAATAAAACAAGGATTTCCATTTGCTTTTAATAGGCTTTACATCAATTGCTTTCCACTTTTCTGAGCACTTTTTTCCCCAAAATTTTTAAGGGTAAGTTAATCTTTTTAAAGAGTTTCCCTTAGGGTGATAACTTTTCCAGCAACGAATACAGTCTACTCCTTGTGACTTCTTTTTATCTCATGGAGCAGGAAATACCCAATACGACATGCAGCAAAATCAGGAAGAATTGTGTACTCACCCACTTGTCCATGTTGGGATAGTCGTGCTCTGGATCAAAAAGGTGTTGGTGCAGCTGGTATTCTCTGCTGAACTCTGCTGTGTCTGGGGTGTTTTCTAGGCACCCATCAGCAACTATAAAAGCATGTTAGAAAATACTGAATGCCTAGCATCTTTAAATATGTGCTACGAATATGCTCATGTTTAGGGTCAAAATTCTTAAAAGTCATTGCACAAAACATTTAGAGAATGAGATGACTGCAAAATACCACTTTTTCCTCTTTCAGGATTAGTTTGTCAGTACATACGCAAATATTTTTTCTAAAAAAAATAAAACTAAATGAGAGTTCAAAGCTAAATCCATTTATTTTCCAAATCCCCCCACCCTCCATCCTCTTTTCTTAAAATCAGTGATTGAAACTAATTTTAGGTAGAACTGCATGTTATTCTTATTCAGGGAGGTCCTATTTTTATTTTTAAATGCCCACAGGAAGTGCTGGAAATTGTTTAAGCAATACTTTTGAAGCTCATGCTACAATGACTCTGTGAGCAAAGGCAGAATTTCCTTTACTAAGCAGCTATTCATGGAGCTCCATTGCTGGTTTGCTACTTTGTTCAAAACGGCTGCAAATCATTTACGCATCAGAGTTCCCATAAAAGCGCAAAGAGACCCAAGTTTTGTGCTGAAGACACTTCTGAAGATTGGCAACTGATCCGGGGCATCCAGGAACAGCCTTTAATCACAGCAGATTGCTCCACAGATGGTGCCATGCCGGATGCAATACCCTGTTTAAAATATTCTTATTGACTTGCCACCAAAAGGAAGGGATCTTTGCCCTAAGCAAGGATTCAGAAACACTGGCCCAGAGCAGGGCTTTGGATGGGACCTGCCCCTGGCCTTCCTTTGCATGCACTTGTCAGCACCGTGTGCTCGGGACCTTCTTGGACTTGCCCCAAGGGATCCTCCAAAGCGGGAGCTAATGCTGGGCACCAAGCAATAAGGTCTGCCAGAAGGCAAGACACTCCAAAAGCTACCTGTGGGCCTTTCTTTCTGCCCTTTTGTGACAATCATGGAAAAAAAAAAATATACACACACACACACACACATATATATATATATATTTGCAGATGGATTCTTTTCCTGTGAAATGCAGGAGGAGACAATAAAGGCTTAAATTAAGTATGAATTGAAGCGAGTGTCCTGGGAAGATTAGCATCCTGGAAAGCATCCAACAGATGATGCATTCTCTCTTTTCTCCTCAGGAGAAGGAAAATAAAATTGCCAATAGGAAACGGAAAAACTAACACTACCGGCTAACTCGGGACCTGTCAGAGTTTAGCTAGCAGCACCAAGCAGTTATTTCTGTCCCTCTGGGGACAGGACCATCTCAAGTCGAGAAGCAGGTGGCAAGAGAGAGGCAGCAGCCCATGTGGCAGCCTCTGTGCCCTTTGCCAGCAAGCACCAAGGCGAGCTGGCCATGTGCGTGCCCTCTGCGACTGCTTGTCCAAAAGTCTCCGGCTCCAGTGCTCCAGGCGTGTGTCTTCCCACTGTGGAATGTGCGTATGCAGACAGGGACTGGAAAAATTGTTTTCCATTAAGCAAATCCACAGACCTGATTGAGGAAGGCCTCTGGTAATTTGTATGCATAATACAGTTTTAACAGTCACCACTTGAATTTCCATTTAAGGCTCTGAAAAACATTTTACTCTAATCCCAGTAGATATTATCTCCACTCCCTGTGTACCTATGACAGAGCAGCTTATCTGACCAGGCAGCACTTTCCCAAGAACTTGCCCCGTGTTAATATCTGACTCTATTGGTTTTTTTTTCACCTAAAAAAAAAGGAAAATTGAAGGGATTTTCAAAGTCATTTCTCTGGATGCCAGGGTTTTATTTTAGCTATCTAATCACTAACTGAAGCCTGACGGGCAAGCATGCAAGACAGAAAGTCTGTGCATGTGCCTGTGTGCATAAGGAAACATAAAACCATCATTCATAACCTGTCAGACAATAGCTGTATCGAACAAAAAGGAAACTTAGGTATTATTTCAAAAGAGATGCAATCACCATCACCAAAGGGGCTCTAATAGAAAACATTAGTGAGGACTTTTAGATTTTCTTCTCTATTTTTGAATGAAAAGTGAAAATACTGCCTGCAAAACTTTTCATGACAAATACTTATTTTCTGATTACTTCCGAGCTAGTTAAAACATTTTAAAATAAGAATATGGACACCTGCTTTGCATTATCCAAATAACACAAACGAAGACTAAGCAGAAAAGACTTTGAAAAGATCTCTTGGTTCGCAAACGAAAATTGAGAGAAAATGGAGTGCTCATTCCCAGTTCCAGCTCCCATGGCAGCCAATGGGTGTTTTACTACTGCTCTCAATACTGGAAATCATTCCTTGGCTCAATTCATAGGAAAAAGATCAGTTCCCCCAGGATATGCTTCTATCATGCACATGTAGTGCTACATTAAAGATCCCCGGGCAGCAGCCACACGCATGGTTTAGCTTGGAGAGGGCATAAACTAAGGGATGTACCGAGTGACCCAGGTACAAGAGCACTCCGATCCTCGGCGCCTGCGTTACCTCTTGCAGAGCAACTCGCTTGTAATGAGTTAGGGTATGTCCACGTAGCTCTCCATTTCTTGGCGTAGACGTACCCTCAGTGAGCTATAAAGCCACATGGATAGGAGCCAAGGTATCTTAAATATTGACTCATGGTCTGGGTTGGAGATCAGGGCAGACAGCTTCATTCCTCTGGCACAATGAAAGTCTCTAAAAAAAGGGTAAATCTCATCTGTACAGAACGATAACTTTTTACAGGGGCCAGCTGAAAAAAGCGCTCCCTCCAGAAGAAGACACTGTCATAAATCTCACCATCCTCTACTTGAAAATTAAGATGATTTCTTTGACCTCACCTTCTCTAGAAGTCATACATCAACACAAAAGTTGCACATAAAAAAAAGGGGGAAAAAATCTGAAATCTCTGATTGTTCACTGTTCCGCTCCTAGAGTGGAGAACAAATGGGCACACCAATGACCGATGACCAGATGTCGCTCTGCTCAGTACAGAGCTGACAGAGCCAGCTGTATGATGAGTAGGGATGCATGAAGGCTATAGCAAAATTACCTGTTTTCCCAATGGGGCAAGGATTTGGAGGGTCAGGATATCCTTGATCGTCACCGAAATCCTTTGGTATATTGTCTCCTGTCAGCTCAGCCACAATATTTGGGATATTGCCATAAGGACCCAAGTGCTGGAGACCTTCATGAGCACCACCTAGCAAAGAAGATTTATATAGATTGTCTTTGTAAAAGATTAAAGGTTTAAGTATTTTAGTTTCTCCAAGAAATATTTCTTGATTAGACTTGGATATAAAAAATATATATATAAATATTTTGCAGAGGTTAGATTCCCCAAACCTCTTTCCAGATACATAAACCTGTGACCTAAATCAGGTCATTTTGCTAATGCAAACAAAATTACAAGACAAACACAGCCACTTACTATTAATCTTATTAATATTAATCTAATACGTTTTTTCCCTTAGCTATATAAGTTATAGGTAAGAAAAAGGAAAGAAAAGCAAACTTTCATTATCAGAGACAATAATGGCAATGTATTTTGGTGAAGTATTTACTGCACAGTCATCTGCAGCCAGGTTCCTGTTCACTTCAACAAGTAATACCCAAGCAAGATAGTATCATTCCAAAAAAGCAAAGTTAATCATATTATAAAAAGAAAGAATACTGTGTACAGCCTAGAATTTATATTTTCATTTTATTATTAATAATATTTATAACAACATATTAATATCAATAACATCAATAAATTAATCTATGTGAAAACACCCAAGAATTATATCCAATTTGGTTCTTCACAGCTAGAAGAAATATCTTTGGGTTAAACAGCTTCTTAAATACAAATCTGAGTTTCCTGCAGTAATGGTGAAAAAATGATTAGTAGTTACAGAATCACAGAATGGTTGTGGTTGGAAGGGGCCTCTAGAGATCATCTAGTCCATATAGTTAATGGAAGGCTTGCATATGCACACCTACACTTTAGTCATGGTACGAAACATCACGTTCAGGAGCTTTCAGTACTTTTATTTAATAGATTGGTTCTAGACTCAGGCTCTGATATTAGCACGACATCCACAGAGGGCTGAGAGTGCAGCTCTCCTTCCTTCCTCCACACATCTCAGCTTGAGCTCCTTGCCTTTGCCAAGTACAGGCTTCCAAGGCTTCCAGGAAGGTTTTGAGAACCAAGTACAGCCCCTTTTCTTTATATTTCTTTTTACAAATATTTACGTGCTCCAGATCTTTTTTGCACGCATTACTGGCCAAATGCATCTAAATGCTAAAGCCCAGCTGTTTGAGGAGTTCTCCAAGTACTATTTTATAGTATTCTTTTGAATTTAAATAAAAACTTAGTTTCAAATAAGTTTTCTTACCCCTGCCATTAGATAAGTATTCATACTGCAGCAACAGCTAGCATAGTTTTTGAGTACCAAGAAGGCTGTGTGACAGCAGAACAATTTTTTTTAAACTCAATGTAATGAGGGATAACAAAATAGATTCAACACAGAAATTCCACTAACAAGGAATGAGAGAAAAAAGAACTTAAATGACAGAAAAATATGAGCAAAAGAGTGAAGGCAGACATAACCATCTGGGTGAATAGCACAATTGTTGTCGTATCACCAAATAGTCTCTAAACTTCCATAGATCCAAGCGACCAAAATAAAGCTTCTGAACATGAAAGCTGCTGCAGAAGAATCATTCAAGTCCTCCTGTCCAGACTTATAAATAAATACTGCTACTATAACTTGTATGTTTGATGTGGCTAGGCATCCTGAGCTAACAAAACCACTTTCAAAAATTGCTAACATAAGGTAGTCTTAACAAATTATATACCCATTTCTACATTCTGAAGTGGCAGTTGAGTCAAATTGACTCGATTTTGCAAATAAACAACTGGAAGCTGACATTATAGCACAGAGGCAAGCACATATATTCCCATTTTATTTAAGTCAAATTCTAACTAAAATGCTAATTTTTCCTCCCCAAACACAAATTTATTATTTTGTAGTGCAATGTTTGAGGAAGTTCTACAGATCTGTAAGAAACACAAAAGAAATGAAGAAATCTTAGAAAAGCTTTGCAGATGTGTTATGAAGTTTTTCCCTTGTAGCTGATCATGAGTCTTTGGACTGAAACCGGAATACCGATACCTTCACTAGCAACTTTCTTTTACATCTACAGACTACAGACAACACAGAGATGATGCTTTTAAGAACAGTACAAAATCACTACAGCGATGAGATTAAAAGAGCTGTCTTATGACACCTAATATAGAGCGTAAAATATCTCTCCCATACAGAGCTCCTGCATATGAAGATTGATTGCATATTTGTACTTAAAAGCACGAGGTTACAATTCTGCTGTAAACTACAGAATCGCCTAATCAATATGTGCTTGAATATCCTATATTCAAGGCAGTTCACTGTGGGACAATCCACAAGATACGAGCGTATCTATGCTTGGACTTGGTGCAGACCTCTTGGCACCAAAGCTCCATCCATAAAGAAAACAGAGTTACTTAGCAGGCTCCAGCGTGCTATATATACGCATGTAAGTTTAAACTGACTGCCAAGAATTCCCTTGACTGCGTACAAAACCATCTTTTCATATTAATATAAAGGATCATTTCCTTTAGGGATAAATGTTCAGGATTGTTTCAAGGTTTTTCCTTTCTTTCCATAAGAACTAGGGACAATAGCACCTGCTCTGCTGCCATATTTTTGCACACTCGAGCGATTTAATAGCATTAGCAAAGCTTGTTCCTTATAAACTGTGATAAATAGTTGTACTCTGTAAAGACTGCAATAGTACAAATAAAACGCTCTGGCTATACCAAATAGGGGTATTATGTGCATGTCACAAACTGCGTTAGTTTTGGTATTATAACGTTACTGATTTGAAAAAACAGATTAGGATTATGTATATTGCAGGTACCAACTCAAAACACTGCGATACAAAATATACACTATCATGTAAAAAGACAGCATGAGATAGGTCTCTAGAACCTGGACCACATCTCGGCACAGAGAAAAAGCAAAAGCAAGTAGGACTAAATATTGGGGAACCTGCCCTTGTTTCCTACAGAAGGGAAGTGTCAGAGATGCCATCATTAAATCACTTGAAACTGGCTTAGACAAAACCTCTCAGTCCTTTCCCGAGAAGGGATGGGACACACAAATTCCTGTTTTCCCCATCTCAGCTGTACAAACTGCCTGCACACAAGAGCAAAAAGCTCAGCTCCCTTTCTGGTGCAGGGCACTGGTGTGAGCACCCAATTATTTTACTTCCCTCCACAGAATGAAGCACTATTGGCTTTGGTCATTTAGACTGAAGTCTGTATTTCACACTTAAGCTTTGGATTTCCTTTAAGCTGCTGTATATATGTAGCCATCTTCTGGCCTCGTTTCAGTGAGGTGACAAGCAAGGAAAGGCTCTGCTGGAGAAGAAAATCCATGTGGGGAGACTCTTCTGGTGGCTATTCTGGCTGCTTGAATTTCACAAGCAGAGGGCCCTTTGCTTCCTGAGAAGCTCTATGAGACTGTAGCCTGGGCTGGTCTCCAAGATCTGCAAGGTCTATCAGCCTTCTGCTGTAAGACAGTTCATGAAATGGAAACAGATAGCAATCTGAGATGCAAATCCATCCTCACTACCTTGCAAAATGTTTTGTTAATCTAAACTACTAGTCCTTATCACTGGAAAAAATCATCATAATAATTTTGAGTGTGTCATCTCTGCTACAGGGATCGTATTTTTCCTCTCGCTGTGACAGCTTTCCATGCTATCCTAGATCAAGTATTTCTGTCGCCAGTTACCTTGAGCTATCTGCCTTTCCTGTGTTGTCATCACATTCAAAAGCGATGCCTCATCCCTAGCCAAAAGCAAGTTTGCCAGGATGCTTCCTGGGGCTCTTGCATCTTTATACGGCACCACGTCCATTATCCTCCTTTTCCCTCTTTTATTAGCTGCAAGATTCCCCATCAAGCAATCTAAGTCAATTTGTCCCCAAAATCTTGACTGCAAAAACATAAATAGTACATTTTAAATATCTTTATAACATCCTATAAGCCTTGCAGTCTCAATACCACTTTTCACCCCTGCATCTTTAGCTAGCTTCATCCTAGGGACTCAACTCTTCTTTGTGGCCAACATTGACTCAGGTGAGGAAGTGAGAGGCATGCAAGAAGGCAAACATCCTCAGGTTTCCTCTGTTCTACAGGAGCTACTGAAAAAGTGAATAGGGAAGAGAGGGTCCATTTGCTGGAGAAAAAGTACAGGAGAATCAAGAATGGGAAAAATGCAAACATAGGCACCTTCCTTTCTCATTTTATAGCCAGTCTGGGGAAGTCCAGGCAGACAACGCTCCCTGATTTCAGGAGCAGCTGTTATCTCTTAGTGGCATAAAGTTTCTTAAAACTATGAAGATTAATTTTCCTTTTGTTTTCAGAGGGAAAAAAAATCATTTCAGTGTGTTTTTTAAAACTTTAAGCACATATCACATAATTACTGATCTTGTTTTCTGTGAGTGGTTCAATTTTTACCCCATATTTTAACTGCTAAAAGTACAAATGCTTACAGTAGGGAATGCTTTCAATTGCAAAAATATTAGGACCAAAGCAATGCCCTCACCTCTTCCATGAAGAATTTATAATTGTAACTTACATGCCATTGTTACTCATTACTCAAGCTGCATGCACAATAAAGAAAACAGCGGCACACTGGTTGACCGAGCACAAAAGCAGCCCCTTACGTCTCCCTCGGTTGAGCGGTGCTGATTTAATGGAGCCTAATAATTTCCTCTCAGTCCAAGCAGAAAGCTTTCTCACCTCGCTGGGAGATAAGGGCTCCCTTTTATAAACAAGGCTGGAGCAGCAGGAAGCAGCAGCAGCTGCCGTGACCCTGGCTAGAGGCAGGAGCAGAGCCAAAGAGCCCCACATGCAGCAAACAGCATCCAAGGCCACCAAAGGTGACCTGCTGCACCCCATACAGGCAAATATCCCAACGGGAGCACTTCAGTCACTGGCATGGGCCAGTCCAAGTGATCCACCAATGTCGACAACCTTAGAGAAAAGTACTTCCTTCATGCCCGTGATGTGAAGCGTGGAGGCACCGGAGTTGCCCAAGAGAGGTCCATATTGTCCATATACAGTTTTGCTCTATTTCATGAAGTTTATCACTTTAATTCTTGTAAGACTTTTA